GTTCTTGTGCATATGCCCTCTCTTTTTATCAGCTGGATGCTTCACTCTTCAATCTAGTCCTCTGTGGCTATGTTACTGACTCTGGGCCCAAGAGCCCCAGGTCTTGCCATAACTGCTGGCCAACCAGGTCTCCACCCAGGTTCACAGGAGTCTACTGAATGTTGTAGGGCTTAGCTTGCAGCTTCATTGCTGTTTTTCCCTCATTTCCCCTTTATCGGTGATGAACATGGTCACCAATCAGAGCGTGTATTCCCATTGAGTCTTAGTTTTGGAAGGGGGTTTGCCCTGAGGGGACCTGACCACTTGCCTTGATGTCTCCTGGGCAAGCAAGTTGCTTATTCTTGTAGTAACAGTCGGTCTGCCTATATTGTTTTGTATTTTTCCTGTCGGTCTTTCTTTCAAGAAGCATCTTCTGTTCTTCTAGCTGTTCCAGGCTGGTCTGATCATCCTTTCAAGTGGAAATGTCCCGTCTCTGAAGATCTGGATGTGGGTCAGGCTTCCACCTATAGTCTTATGTAATACAGAGCCTCCATAGGAAGCCTCCTTTACTGGGCACATTGTAGCCCATTTTAGGTATTCCAATCAGTTATAGGCAGAAGATGGACTTACAAGCTTTCTATGGTGATGTTTCTGGCTATTCCTTTCTCTTCCCCTCCAATGTCTATTTTATAATATAATGCAAGGAAAACCAAGGTTCAAAAGACAGCCAAGCATCTTAACATTATACCCCCTTTTTCCCCATTGCAACCATGTCTCAGTCTCTGTATCCCAGAGCCCTGTTGTTCCAAGGTTGTACATACATCATTATTTACCTCTGTCCCACTTAGCCAATTCAGACCTGCCTAATTGTTCTCCCATCTACTTTGTTTTTCCATTCCCCTCCCCATTCTTGTATATTGCCCTCCTCCCCAGCACCCAAACTATCCTGTGTCTTCTCCCTGCCCTGTGCTCCACCTTTCCCTCCCTCCCCTCATCGTACCCCCCGACATCCCAGCAACCCGCAAAGAATCCACCCCCCTTTAGTATGGGTTATTTTTCTTGGTCTTTTACAGTAGTGGTCCTGTGGAGTATTTCTCCTTTTATGACTGACTAATTTCACTCAACATAATATCCTCAAGGTTCATCCATGTTAAGCAGTGGCTTGCAGCTTCCCTGTTATTTTTCAAGGTAGCATAGTATTCCTTTGTGTGTATGTACCACAGTTTATTTATCCAATCTTCAATTGATGGGCACTTTGGCTCTCTTCATCTTTTTGCTATTGTATATAGTGCTGCTGTGAACATTGGTGTCCATATATCTTCTCGTGTTGTAGCTCATATTTCTTGTGGGTAAATACCAAGTAGAGGAATTGCTGGATCATAAGGTATTTCTATTTCCAACCTTCTGAGGAAGCACCATCTTGCTTTCCAGAGAGGTTGGACCATTTTGCAGTCCCACCAGCAATGCAGGAGTGTCCCAGTCTCTCCACATCCCTGCCAGCATTTATTGTCCTCTATTTTTTTTTATCTTTGCTGTAATTGTTGTTGTGAGATGATAGCTCATTGTTGTTTTGAATTACATCTCTCTATTGGCTAGTGAGTGTGAACATTTCTTCATATGTTTGCTGGCTGCCTGATCTCTTCCTTGGTGAAGTGTCTGTTCATGTCCTGTGCCCATTTTTTAATGGGGTTATTTGTCTTTTTCTTGTAGAGGTGTTGTAGTTTCCTGTATATTTTAGAAATGAGTCCCTTGTCTGATATGTCATTGCAAAAGATTTTTTTCCCATTCTGTGGGTTCCCTTTTTACTCTTCTGGTGAAGTCTTTTGATGCACATAAGTTTTTAATTCTTAGTATGCCCAACTCATCTATTTTGTCTACTTTTGTTTGTGTGGTTTTAAAAATGTTTTGTATTCTGTGTATTCCCAGAATTAGTGCCCTCACATTTGTCCCTGTTTTTTCATTTGTTTGCAGTGCACCTTCACACTCTTGCCCAGAATGAAAGTACACCCACTCCTCACTTGTTGGCACAGTTAAGTTCCAAAGACCTGGTCATTATATGAAATTGGCATTATATGAAAGTCATGTGTCATACGTCATCTTTGACATTGATGTCGTCCTTGTCTCTCACTGCCCATCTGGTGCCCTGACATGTCTCATAACATGTATGGCGTGGTAGGCCCCACATCAGCTTCCCGATTTCCCCACCACTGCTGAGATATCATAGACAAATAGGAAAAGACATCCTATGACTGCTATCCCTCTTGTGAAAACACTGGGGTCTCGGGCATGTTGTTTGGGATGGCATGGTGGCCCAGTTTTAGGGCCCAGATCATTGGAGGCTCCACCTGAGAATTTTTCTAAAGTTGCTGTAAATTCAAAATGTTAGATCACAAGATAGTCGATAAGTAAGTAGTAGTTGTGTATAACCATTGGATTTATATGAGTTTCTTATATTCCCTTTTTGATTCTTCTTCAGTAGGTTTTTCTGTTCACATTGATTTTCAGTTTTAGTTCCTTTTCTCATCCTTTGTATTTAATCTTTTATTGTAATAGGTAGAATCTTAATACTTCAAAAGGTAAAAATTCATCCCAAAGATCTAAATAGAAAATTTAGATATAGATTTTTTTTTTCTATATAGATCATTCCTTGCAAATTCCTCTTCAGTGTCTCAGTCCTACCCCATTCTTCTTATAGTTAACTGTTTTCTGAATTATATTTCTTGTGTTTTATTTTGTAAAGGTAATTATTTCTCTGTTTCTTATTAAAAGTAACTTTTTTGATTTTCCAGTATTTCCCCAAATGCAGCAGCTACATATTTTTTGTTTTTTATTATATTAAATGATAACTTCAATTCACCTATTAAACCTGTTCACCAAATATTTATGTCAGATATAGCATATAGAAATTAATTTTTTTTAGTAATAAGTGAAAATCCTGGTACACATTTTTTCTAAATTTGAAATCTATAGATTTCATGGTGTATTTGTTTTTCTATTTAGTGGGCATGTATTCTTTATGTAGCTCATAAGAGAAATCTTATACTTGATCTTGTTTGGTCTATGAAGATATATTAACCTAATAAAATCCAAAGATTATTATAAAATGCATTTGATGCCTAAAAATGTCTATGAAGTAATAAGATTGCTTTCATGTGCACCCATCAAAATGTCCCTCACACTTTTCATGCCACATTTTGCATATGGTAAGTTTCTTATAACTGTTATGTGAGAGAATATTTATGTATACTTGTACAATTGCTGAATACCTGTTTTAAAAATTTGAATCTAGAGATTTCAAAATAGATGTTTTTCCATTTAGTGGACTAAATGCATCTCTTTATGTAGGTCAGAATGATGTGCTAGATGAAAATCTTATCCTTGAGAACAAAGATGTAAAAACTCAGATGAATGGAAAGAAACAAATAACTTTCAGTGGGGAAAACCCCAATAGTAAGTATAATAAACAAAATTATTGATGCTATTTAATAGCCATGGGGTGATGTGATCAATACTCACCAAGGTTCAATAATGGGCCAATAATTATATCTCATAGGGGATGTACTTTTCAGCCTATTACGTGAGATTACTGGTCAAAACCCATGGAGACCTTTGACCCGTGTTAGCCTCCTCCTATCATAACTCTGATAGGCCAACTGAGTGGTTGTGGAGACTCATAACTCAAATGGCAAATTTGGATCTCTGGGTCATAGAGAATGGGTGACCAGCAGGATAATCTCCATTCCATCCTGATGATTAACCTTACACTCAAAGGAACATCCTTTGTAACCTGACAGATGGGTACCATCAAGATCCCAATGAGGAATGTGAGAGTACCAGTAGCTGGCCCTCATTTTTATTTGATGAACAGAGAGGGCAAAAGCTTGGCAATCATCTCTTCTGAAATAAAACACTGTGCATCTTCCCAGTTTGATATTTCTGATCAAACTCAGAAATATCACTTAGTTACTAGGACAGTGAACTTTATCTATATGAATGACTCAGCTCTGTTACCACATGTGGAGTATCAGGGGTTTCAGTCTTTGTTGGTGCACTTTCTGTGGATAAACCAGGAGTATGACATCAACACTAGGAATAGGACTTTTCCAAGTTGTGGCTCATCTCTTAATGACAGATAGTCAGAAAATTTAGGGAGCCTTGCAGAAGAACACTATAGATATGTTGCAAGCCATTTGACATAAAGGCAAGCTGATGTTGATCATCTTGGTGGGGAAAAATGCTGAGTAAGGCATTTATGGTGTTAATTGCTAGATATTAGGTTTCCTTAGCCTGGACAATTAGCTTCTTTGACAGTCACAAGATCTAGTATTTCAGGTGTCAATGGTAGTATTGCAGCACTGAATAAATATAATCCACAGTGAGGCTCCATGCATTCAGACATTGAGAACTGGTCAGAAAAGATTATTGAATGTAGAAGCAGTCTCATGGGGAAATTTTTCTTCCTTAAGGACAGAAGTGTAGGCAGTTATTTCTTTGTCTTCTCTGGTATTGTTGTTGTTGTTGGTGGTGGTGGTGGTGGTGTGCTGTGTTGTGTTGGAATAGGTTTCAACTCATAGCGACCATGTATCATGTTTCTGAGGCTGTAAATCTTTACAGAAACAGAAAGTCTCATTTTTCTCCCTTGAAGTAACTGTTAGATTCAAACCATTGACCTAGTGAATAACAGCCAACTGGTAACCTGCTATGCTACCAGGGCTCCCCTGGCAGAGACAATAGCACTAAATACAGATAGCTGTTAGGTTTGTGGTCTTCCATATGCCAGTAGTACATTCAAGAATGTGGGGCCATAGCAGTGTAATCTGTAGCTATTTGTAGGGGCCCACCTATTGTCTAGCCTATAGGTAAGGTACTGGAGGGCCTCAGATCCCAAACCAGAGAACATTATCTATTTTCTCCTCTTCCTGATACCAGCAGTGTTGAGATCACAGTTATTTGTACACTGGTGTCGAAAAGCCCAAGACATGAAATTTTACACCACACTTCCTCAGTGAACCTGATCCTGGCATAGGGCCTCTTGATGCCCATAGGAACAGAGACATCTAGGCATAAGCCATACTCTTGTTTCTTTTTGAGAGCTGAGAAATCTTGGTACAAGCTTATGGGACTTTCAAATGCATCTGCAAATTCACTCAAAAGGGCAGAGGAAATAGCAAGTATAGTCGGCATGCTGACTGCTTGTCCCATTACCTGGTTATGGGTCTTCCTGGAGAGTCTGCCATCCTTGTCATTTATGACCTCATTACCAAGTAATGAGACCCAGAAAACGTTTTTGAAAGTCCTTGCTTGGGTTTGCAAAGACTTTCAAATGACTCATTGCCATCTATGTGTTGCTCTGTTATTGAAGTGGCAGAAGTGAACCACCTATTTCTTCTTCCTAGTCTGGTCTTTGGTAGCGTAGTGGTTACGAAACGTGCTGCAAACCTCAAGGTCAGCAGTTCAAAATTACCAGCTCTTCTGCAGGAGAAAGGTGATACTTTCTGCTCTCGTAAAGGTTTACAGCCTCAGAAACCCTGTACAGGGTCTCTATGAGTCGAAACCAACTCTACAGCACATAACCACCCCCAGTCTGGTCTTGGTCTAAGCTCTGCTGAGACCTGTCCATCGTGGTTGACCCTGCTGGTATTTGAAACACCATTGGCATAATGTCCAGCATCACAGCAAAATGCAAAATATCACAGTATGACAAACTGATAGATGTGCAGGCTAGTTTTTATAGAACCCCTATGTTTATCTGTAAGTTGACCCACTGGGCTTGCTTAGCCAAGGAGTCTAAGGTTAAAGTAAAGGACCATTCATTTCCCTTAGAACCAGGAATTTTATAAATAATCTGCTAGCACTGTTCAGCCTGCTGTGCAGTGTTTATGAACACTTGTAAGAATTTCAGCAAGACTGACAGAGTGCCTGTAGGACCTTCATAGACTCATAAAGTGATAAACTAGTCTATAGAAGAGTGCTCCATGGATTCTGCTAGAGTCTCCCTCAATTACTATCTTGGATCACTAGTTTTTTTGCTTCCTGTTCCAGTTTTCCAGAGAGAGAAAATGGTCAAATGTCAAGATCCTTCATTAAAAAGTATCAAAGCTCTATTCACTTACTATGATGCTGAAACTCATCAGCAGCTCCTTGGAATCCCTATCCAGGGTCACTCTGAGTCAGAACTGACTCCACGGCACATCACAACATATACATTCATGGTAATGACTTGATGCTATTTCTTCTTATGAAAGGTTTTATAGGTGTGCTTTTACTTTTATTTCTTACTTTGGGATAGCGGAGGAAACCTGTATATGCCTTATATATTTCAACCAGTTTCCTATGTGTCAACACATACGTGGTTTTGAATATTTTGCAGTGACATTTAATACTGTAATGTCTTTAGTAAATTTCTGAAAACTATTTAATCAAATGAGACAAAATGCTGTGCCTTTGTTATAAATTGGAAATACAGAGATTTCACAATATTTAATGGACTAAATGTATCTCTTAGGTAGCGCATGATGAAGTACCAGATGAAAATCTTAAGCTTCATTGTCCAAACCCAAATGCAAATAAAACAACAAAGAACTTTCAAAGGGGACATGCATATGTGTTTTTATTGTTTGGATTATGAATATGTATTAACCTAAAGTACAAATAAGGTGTGAAAATAAGAGACACATATAAAATATTTGACATGTCTAGCAATTATGAGGAAATAATGAAAGCTCCAACAAGCACCTGTTAAAATGGTTCTTAAGTTTTTCATGTTAGCTCTAAAATATGGTAATTTTATTATAACTTTCTAATGGAAATGGAGGAGAATGTTTCTGTACATGTTTTATAAATTTGCAACCTAGAGATTTCACAATAGCTATTTTCCCATTTATTGGACTAAATCTATTTCTTTATGTAGCTCATAATGAAGTATCTGATGAAAATCTCATGATTGAGGGTAAAGACTCAGTGTCCAAAACCCACACTCAAGTAAAGAAACAAAGAACTTCCAGAGAGGAAAGACACAGTAGTAAGTATAATAGTTATAAACTCATAAAATCACACTCTTGTCATGTTGATTCTAATTCCTAGCGACCCTCTAAGTCAGAGTAAAGTCCTCCATAAGGTTTCCAACTTATAAATCTTCACCAAAACAGACTGGCATACCTTACTCCTGGGGAGCAGTTGGAAGGTTCAAATCACCATCTTTTTGGTTGGTATCCAAGCACAGTGACCACTGCAACACCAGGATACCTTATAATAATTATATTGTTGTTAAGTGCTGTTGAGTCGATTCTGAGTCATAGCGCCTCTGTGAAGGGTTTCTAAGGAGCTACTGGTAGCCTTAAATTCTTTAAAACTCACTAGATCTTTTTCATTGTTAAGTACGTACTTGAGCATACATTGTTTAAAAACTTTGTATTGTGAATTTAGTAAAAATTTACAGAGCAGATCATTAGTTTTATATTCAACAAATCATATACTTTGTTTTCAATGATTTCAATCCCCTCCATGAAACAAGTTATCCCATTTCCTGTGGTTCTTATTTCCGTTCCATTGTTCTTCTCAACCCTTTTGAACTTTGGCCTTACATATATTTGCCTTTTGATCTTGAGTGGACCATTCCAGATGAGCACACCTTACTAGTGTTGTTGTCCCCCCTATATACCTAACTACTGTTTGGCAAAAAATTGGGCCATTAGGATGAGTTTTGTTCCAGACTTGAAGGGTGGTTGAGGACGATAGTCTAAAGTTCCTCCAGTATCTTTCTGACCAGTAGGCCTGGTCTTTTCTATAATTTTTAGTTTTGTTCTACATTTTCTCCCACTCCATCCAGGACTTTCTGATGTGATCCCTCTTGGGGCAGTTGATAGTAGTAGCTGGGTACCATCTAGTTGTTCTGGTCACAGATTCATGGAGCCTGATGTTCATGTGATCCATTAGTCCATTTTACTAATTGATTCTCAGCATCTTCAGTTTTCCACTCTTCTTTTCTCTGCACATGGAGAGACCAATAATTGCACCTTAGATGGATTCTCATGAGCTACTAAGATCCCAGTTACTACTCACCAAAGTAGGATGTAGAACATTGTCTCTGAGGACTGTGTTGTGCCAGTTGACCCTGGTGTCCCCTGAGACAATGATCTGGAGTCCCCAGGTCCAGAAACTCATTGCCTCAAGGTAATTTCTAGTATTAACCTTCATTATTGAGCCAGTTTGCTATTCTTGAGCTTCTAGGTGGGTTTGGTACTTTGCAGTGAAAAATAATGCTGAAACCAATAACCTATGCATTTGCACCACTAGGTTTGTGAGTATGTGCTAATTTATGAAAATTACAGATTAATCTAAAAAAAAATGTTTTTCATTTCCATCCTTGTTCTCAACCAAAAGGTAGCATAGTAGATATACTTGTTTTCAATTTGTCTATTCGCTTGAAATTATCTCTTGGATATCCCTCCATGCCAGGTTTTGGAGATCTTTTCATTCTTCTTAAAGCTCTGGGGTGGTGCTATAGGATAAGCCCTTAACCGACCACAACGTTGGTTTGAACCACAAGGTTGGCAGTTCATACTCACCAACCACGCCTCAGAAACCCTATATAGGGTTGTTATGATTTGGAACCAACTTGATGGCACTCAACAGCAACAACAATAACAAAGTTCTTGTGCCACTTTGAACACCGTAGTTCATCCTACAAGCAGACCTCCTCTGGTGGCACTTTGCTTTATTGCACTTCACAGGCGCTTTTTAAAAAAATATATATATATATACAAATTGAAAGTTTGTGATAACTTGTGTTGAGCAAGTCTGTAGACGCTCTTATTCCAATAGCATGTGCTCACTTTATATCTATGTGTTACAGTCTGGTAATTCTCACAATTTTTCAGATTTTTAATAATGCTTTTGGTCACTTAATAAGCAGTATATTGTACACATCATGTCTGCATGCACTGGAAAGCCAAAGTAATATGTGCAGCTCACTTTACTGTATATTTTCTTTATTTGCTTTGGTCTGGAACCAAATCTGAAAGATCTCTAAAGTATTCCTGTATACCATAACTTACATTTTTGTTGTTAGGTGTCGTCAAATCATTTCTGACTCATAGTGACCCCGTGCACAACAGAACAAAACATTGCCTGGCCTTGCTCCTTCCTCAAAATTACTGTTAATTTTGAGCCCACTGCTGCTGCCACTGTGCCAGTCCATCTAGTTGGGGGATGGGGGAGTTTCCTCTTTTTCGCTGAGCCTCCATTTTTCCAAACATGATGTCCTTCTCCCAGGAATGGCCACTGCTGATAGCATGTCTGAAGTATGAGCAGTGAAGTCTGACCATTTTAGTTTCTGAGTAGCATTCCAGCTGTACTTCTTCCAACACATATTTGTTTGTTTATAATACATATCTTGTTGTGCTGGAAGATAAGCACTGAACAACTAACCCCAAGGTTGATGGTTCAAACCCACCAGCCGCTATTTGGAAACCCTATACAGGGTCGCTGTGAGTTGGAACATACTCAGTGGCACTTAACAACAACAACAACAACAAAAACAGAATAGTATACCTTAGTTTATTCAATCAATCTGCATGCTTCAACACATAACTGGTTTTGGTTATTTTATAATTACAAATAATGTTGTTATGACTCAACTTGTGCATACATATTTTCATTGTCTGATCTATGAAAACATATTACCTAAATATAAATAGCTTTGAAAATTTGAGACTAATATAAAATGTGCTTCATGTCTAGAATAATGATGAAATAATGAGAGTTTCAACCTAAAACTACTAAAATTTTTCTCCTAATTTTCATGTTAGATCAAGGAAATGGTAATTTTCTTTTAACTAATTAATAAAAGCAAGAGAAAATGCTACTGTACACGTGTTATATATTTAAATCTTGTGATATCATAATGGATGTTTTTCTATTTAGTGAACTAAAGGTATCTCTTTTGTAGTTCAGGATGAAGTACCTAAAGAAAATAGTGTGCATGAGGATCAAGATTCAGTGTCAAAACCCGAAATTCAAGTAAAAAAACAAAGGACTTCCAGAGGGAAAAACCACAGTAGTAAGTATAATGATTATAAACTCATAAAACTACCGTTGGCGGGTTGATTCTAACTCACAGAGCAAAACTGACGGGTCCTGCATAGGCTTTCCAAGCCTGGAAATCTTGACAGAGACAGAGACAGACTGTCACATATTTCTCCTGTGGAGCAGCTGGTGAGTTTGAACCTCCAACCATTTGCTTAGTAGCCTAGTGCCTTGACCACTGCATTACCAGTTTTTGTTAAGTGAGGCTTAACAGTTTCAACTCATAGTGACTCTGTTTAGGGTTTCTGAGGAGCTGTTGTTGGCTTTGAACCACCAATCTTGTGGTTAGCAGTCCAGTATTTATCCTACAGCGCCACAGCAGGGCACCTTATACAAGTTATGGTGGTGGTGTGTGCCCTCGTGTACCCTCGAGTCAGTTCTGACTCATAGTTTATAGGGTTTCTGAGGCTGTAAATCCTTATGGGAGTATAAATCCTTATCTTTCTCCTGTACAGTATCTGGTAAACTCAAACTCCTTAGAATATTACACATTGAAAAAGTAGAATAGTTTTGTATAACAAGCAAAGACAATTATTGACAGCTTTTGGTTTGAAAATCAGATCATAATTGTACTTCACTACCATGAGTCCTGGTGAGGTGCTAATCCTTCAGACTGCAAAGTTGTTTGAACTACAAGGTCAGTGGTCTAAGCTCACCAGCTGCTCCTTGGAATCCGTATACACGGTCTCTGTGAGTCAGGATTGACTCGGCAGCACTTAACGACAACAACAAACCATGAGTCATGTGTTCAGTATTTATCAAGGCCAAGTATTTTCTCTGGCCAATAATTTTCTCTCAAGAAGTTGGGTACCTGTAGCCAAATCTATGAAATTTAAGGTCCAAAGTCCAATGGGCAACTCTGAATAATAGTAGTGTCCTTCACTATAGGGTGCAATTAGTGACCTTCAAGGTTGCTGTGACCTGTACCTCAAAAGAACAAGTGTGGTTCAGTGGGGCACAGAACAAATGAGCTAGGGTCAGGCTCTACTCAACATTAGTATTATTGTTGATGGTAAGTGCCCTCAAGCTGGTTCCAACTCATAGAGCCTTGTATAGGGTTTCCAAGGAGGGACTGGTGGGTTTGAACCACCAACCTTGCAGTTAGCAGTACAGTGCTTATCCTACAATGCCACACCAGGACTCCTTTTTAGTAACTTAGTAGATAATTTCCATGGTAGATCTAGCATATGATAATTTTCTTTTAACTAATAGGAGCCAGAGAAAATGCCACTGTATACTTGTTACATATTTATATATTGTTATATTTAAATATATATACATATTACTATAATATATATAGTTATATATATATATATAGTTATTAGCTCTGGTAGCGTACTGGTTATGAATCGGGCTGCGAACTGCAAGGTCAGCAGTTCAAAACTACCAGCTGCTCTGTGGGAGAAAGATGGGGCTTTCTACTCCCGTAAAGATTTACAACCTCGGAAACCCTGTTCAGGGTCACTATGGGTCGGAACTGACTCGATGGCACTTAACAACAACAACATATATAGTTATGTATTTAAATCTAGTAATTTCACAATAGCTGTTTTTCTGTTTAGTAGACTAAATGTATCTTTTTATGTAGTTCAGGATGAAGTACCTGAGGAAAATGTTATGCTTGAGGATCAAGATTCAGTGTCAAAACCCCAAGTTCAAATAAAGAAACAAAGAACTTCCAGAGAAGAAAAACATAGTAGTAAGTACAATGATTATAAACTCATGAAAACCTGTTCACAGTGACTCTGTAGTACAAAGTAGAACTGATAGATACTTCATAGAATTTCTGAGGTTAATCTTGACAGAGACAGACTGTCGCATCTTTTTCCTGTGTAGATGCCATAAAGATCTCCCAAATATACATTCATAAATATTCCCGCTAAGCACTGAGCCTCATTTTATTGGACAGTGGAGACCAAAACCTTGGCAGTCATCTCTACTAGTAGGACGTGTCGTACCACTTCAAATAATCAGATTATGCTCAAAGATGCACGTGGGTATTATGTTCTTGTAACTTATCTTTATTAATGACCCAATTGTGTTGCTACATGTGGATCATCAGAGTATCCAGTCCTTGATAGTGCCCTTGTCTAAGACTGGCAGGAAGATGTCATGAAAATTGTGGAAATCTAGGTCTCAGTCTGAGGATGAGACTTTTTCCTGGTCTCTTATTTGTCCGCTGATGATGTAATTGAGTAATTTAGGTCCTATTGTGGAAGGAAATTAAAGGTACTGCAACCCATCTACTCAAAGACAAACTGATCCTGAACATCATTATAGAGAGGGATACTGAATAAGGCATTTGTGATGTCATTTGCTGTTGTAGACCAAGTTCCATCTGTTTGGGAAATAGCCTTAGTGACCATCACAATGTCAGGTAGCAAAGTTTTATGACATTGAATACCTTAAATCAATTGTGAGGCACACAGTCCTTGTGCACAAACTGAAGGGACTGCTGAATGAAGACAAATTTCACAGAGAACCTTGGCTTCCTTAAGATCAGTAATGAGGGAAGTTATTTCTTTTTTTAATCCAAGCAGTTGAGATTCTTTTTGAGAAACACCACTTTATTCACTGGAATTTTAAGTTATTCATGTATCACTACAGAACTTCTCTGGGACCAGGTCAGATCTATTGACACAAAAGGGGGAATTGCTTAACTGCCAAGGGAGTGTTGGACAAAAGACTCCTGAAGTTTTATGGATCCTGAGACTTGAAGGAAGGAGAAGTAGGAAGGCCTACCACTGCAAATACTGATTCGGAGTAGAGGAAAATGTCTCCCACACCTTCTGATAGGATGGTCTTGGCACAAGCACCTGAACAATGTCTGCACTGATCTTCATCCCTTACCATACGGAGCCCTCTGAAAGGATGTTCATACTTATATCTATGAACATAGATATAAGTAAGAGCATGATCTACATAGGAAGAAAGTGCGAAGCGTGTGTGTGGTGGGGGAGGGGCTTCACTGCAGACACCTCCAGGGACTGCATTACACTGCCTGTAGATCCAGTTTGCTGTGGGAAGGAAGCTTTCGTCCAGGTAGAAACTTAGCAATTACTTGTGGTAGGACATGAACGATCCCAAACAGAACTTTAGACTGGTGCAGAACTTCTCAGCATAGGTATACAGATACATACATATGCAAATATACATTTAGTTACATCCATACACATGGACATATCCATCCAAGATATATTGCAGAAACCAGGAGTTTTACCTGTCACTTTGAATTCCCATCCAGCCCTTCAGGGCTAGTTCATATCATATGCTTAAGTGCTCCCTTCCACAGTGTGATCCTGACTGTGAACAACATCAACACATTTCCTCATAGACAGAATTGTATAATGCTTCTAAATTTGTTTCAGAATTGCTTAGTTTGTGCCACTTCAAAAACAAACCTATGAAAAAGATTTTATGATTTGCTTCTCTTCCATTTCACACTCTTGCCCAAGATGAAAGATTTATATCAAATATGGTATTTATGGCATGCTTGGATGCTTGGATTAATGATTTTTTCACCTCAATAATAGGTTCTTTTTTTAAAAAAAACAAAACACAAAGTTTTTTTTTTTCAGTTTTGGTTACTCTTTCTGATTCTCGTTATATAATTATTAAGTTGGTTATAAAAATAATGCTGGAGATTGCATAATAGAATTTTGCTAGACCAGGGACCTCTTCCTTGCAAATACCATTTTTTTTTTTTTTTTAGTTTATATTGTGCAAATACCATTTTTAAACAACATAAAAAGCGATTATATACATGGACCTCACCAGGTAGTTTTATGTATTTTGCAGTTACAAATAATGCTGAAATTAATAACTTTGTGCATTTTAATCTATAGGTCTATGAAAATGTATTCATTTATGAAAATAGGGCTTAATATAAAAATAAATATTTCTCATTTGAATCTTTCATCTTAACCAGAAGGTAACAACAGTACTTGTTTTCACTTTATCTATTCACTTTTTATCTCTTGGGTGTCTTTCCATGACAGCTTATGGAATTCTTTAATTCCTCTTATAGCTCTTATGGAGTCCTGGTGTGGCACTGCAGGACACTATGCTAGATTTGAGGTCAGTTTGAACCGTAAGGGACTGACTTGATAGCACTTAACAACAAAACCATAGTTTTTATGCCATAGTACATGCCATCATCGATAATACAGGATTACCGTACTTTATTGTTCTTCATAGATACTACATTGTTTTACAAATTGCAGGTTTGTGGCAACACTCTGTCAAGCAAGTCTACTTAGACATTTTTTTCAACAGCATGTGCTCACTTTATGTCTCTATGTCACTTTTTGGTAATTCTGACAATATTTCAAACATTTTTCATTGCTTTTTCACACTTAACATAACTACAGCATAGTGTAAACATAACTGTTTTATGCACTGGTAAACCAAAAAAAATTAATGTGACTCACTTTATTGTAACATTTGCTTTATTGCAGTGATCTGGAAGTGAACCCATTCTGAGGTATACTGTAATTATAGTATACCTTTTAGTTTATTCACCCAATCTGTATGCTTTACCACATAGGGGGTTTTGAATATTATAAATTCTACAATGACTAATGATGCAATAGAAAACCTTGTACATATGCATTTTCATTCTTTGATCTATGGAAATGTATTACATAAAGATAACTTCTAAAATATAGTTGATGTCTAGAATAGTGATGAAATAATGAACACTTCAAAACACACCCACTTAAGTTATGGTCACAATTTTCATATTAGAGCTGCTTATAGTAATTTTATTGTAATTAATAAGGAAGAGAAAATGCTATTGTATACTTGTTAAAAATTTGCAATCTAGAGGTTTCACAATCATTTGTTTTCCATTTAGTGGACTAAAGATATCTCTTTTTGTAGGGCATGATCAAGTATCTGATGACAATCTTATGCATGAGGATCAAGATTCTGTCTCACAAAACCACATGCAAGTAAAGAAACAAAGAACGTCTAGAGAGGAAGAACGCAATAGTAAGTATAATAATTGCAAACTTATATAAACCCATTGCCACCAAGTTGATTCTGCCTCATGGCAACCCTATAAGATAGAGTAGAATTGCCCAACAGGGCTCACAAAGTTGTAAATCTTTACAGAAGTAGACTGCCTTTTCATTCTCCTGTGGTTTGAACCACTGATCTTTTAGTAACAAGCCAAGTGCTTTAACTGGTGCATCACAAGGGCATCTTATAATAATTATGTTGAGAGAACAAACAAGATGGTAGAGATGGTGAGGTAGTGAGGAGCTGTGTCAGCAACAACACAGAATACCGGACCAAACAGGCTCAGGGGATGGTGCCAGAACTCTGAACTGCATATAAAGGAATGTTTAGAAGGTTGGAAGGCTTACAGCTAGGGTAATTTGTAGTAGAAGCAAAAAATCCAGTGCTTTCTAATTCAAGATGATCAGCTGCTCCCAGGGCCACCATCTTTGGGAAAGACGAAGCAGGGAAAGGATCAGTGCAGCTCCGGATGCCTGACAGAACCACTGAGATAAAGGAAGAAGAGTGAAAAGGGAAGCCTATCTCCTGATCACATCTACATGGAGGCAATCAGAAAGCATAAAAAATGCCAAAAAACACAACCATCTAAATAGTAAGGCCACAGATAGGTCCTGAATAGTCCCCAAAACCAGACACACATGACCATATCAACACATGTCCAGAAACGAGATAAAGTGACTGAGGCAAATGAGCTAGAAGTAGACCTACACTCCATACTGGAAGATGGGCAGGCTTTGGAAATGCCTGAGAAGGAATTCAGAAAAATGATTATAGAATGTATCAAAAGACTATACAATGGAGTTGAGAAAAATAAGGAAGCAGTCAGGAAAGCACTACAGGAACAATCAAATAAAATAGATACAGTATTGGATACAATTCAGAACCTACAGAAAGACGTCCAAATGATCAGTAGAATATCAGAAATGGACAATACATTGAAAGGGCAAAAGAGTAGAATAGAAGAGATAAAAGCCAGAACTAGTGAACTAGAAGATAAATCTCTCAACACTATTAAGATACAAGAGCAAACACAGGAGAGGCTTGGCTTGATAGTGGCTAGGGTAAAGGTGCAGTGAGATTCGCCATAAGCAATACCACAGAATACCAGGCAAAGAAGATTCAGGGCAGAGCTCCAACACCCAGAACCACATAGGTAGGAATATATAGAAAGTTTGAAGGCTTATAGCTAGTGGAACTTGTAGCAAAAGTAAGAAATCATGTACTTTTGAATCTGCCAGGCTTGGCAGCCTGGAGCCAACAACTAGGGCGACACCAAACTGCAAGAGCAAGCAGGGGAGCAGACACACCATGGAAAAATGCAGCGGGAACCTAGGAGAAAAGGTGGACAATACACTTTGTCGATTTGCTTTGTTCTGATTTTCTTTTCATTGGTATCTGTTCAATGTATCTGTTCATTGGCTCCCCACTGTTTGTGCACTTCCATTCTGGGAACTAGAAGGGGGTGCCTGAGCAAGTGGAAACCCCCACCCTCACCACTGGTGGGTTCTTCTGCCACGCATGTACACAGATACTCTCAGCACAAAAGCCGGTCCTGAGCTGTTTTTCTTCAATATGGAAAAGAGATGTTGAGAGGGAAAGAGAGTTTAAAAACAAAACAGGCCAATAATTATTTTAAATCCTGAAGTACAGCATTACAACCAACAGTGG